TCTCAGCAGACAATAGAACCAGATTTACCACAGAGGGAGCGCTTTGAGAAGGGAGGTATGAATCCAATGAGAAATCTTTAAGCAGAAGAGTTCTAAGGAGCCCCGGTTTTAAGACAAAGCTCTAGCAATCAGGATGTGGCAGAGGACAAGGTGTCTGTACTCTGAGCCCTGGACCTGACCTCAAAGAGCATGTTCTGCGCACTGCCCTGGCAAACCACACTATGGGCACAGGATGCAGAAGTGTGGTCCAGAGGACTTTTTATCTGTTATGGTCACAGGAAGAAACTCATCCCAAAATTGTTATATACATCTGTGCATTTCCTTAGAAATCTGGTTAGCCTCATCTAAAACCACTTAAGAAGAGCTGTACGGCTGGGAATGAAAACCTTTCTCTGCATTACATGGAGAATCCTCTCCAGTCTGGCCGAGATGATGTCCCTACAGTCATCCATCTTGTTAAATGAATCCTTGCACAAGACCTGGCAAAATGAGGAAGAGAACAGGGGATGAAGAGGAGAATGGAGCTGGACAGTGTAACCCTTCAACATCATGTATCTGAAGTGAGGAATTTGTCGGCATCACAGAAAAGGGGATCAGTGATCCCTCAAACCTGAAACAGATTGTGAAGAATTTGTGAAAGGATAACGGTGCTCTGCCTGTGACCATCACCCCAGTCCCCCAGTCTTTGTTATGCAGAAGTAGTGGGGGGTGGGGTTCCTGCTTTCAGTTCTTCTTCCCAGAGCTCAGATGAAAGCTACACATCACTGGTAAGCTGGGACTCTGCTCAAACAAACATATATACTCCTTTCAGTAGTCACTCCTCTATTCAACACACCGCCTGGAATCAAGGGAAGGGATTCTCTCCCATTCTTCCCCCCCAAGAATGGCAAAAAGGACAGCATGAAAATGTCACCACAAGAAAGCAAAAGGAAAAACCTACTGGACTTCATCCTGTTCTGATCTGCAGTCTTCTGTGGCAGCAACAATCCTCCTTCCAAAGGTAAAACGGAGACAAGCGCTACCACCAGATACTCTCCGATTCTATTTAACTCAGCAAGCAGCATCTGTGTGCTCTGGTGAAAGAGCAAAATCATTTGAACCACCTTCAGAGAAAAGAACAGGGAGAACAAACACTCCCCCTTTTGACACCAGTGAGCTCCTGCAACAGTTCTCTGGATTTGGAAGATGACGACCCTATATTCCGGCAGTGACTTACCTGAGGTAGCTGTGGTTTAGTTTATACCTCATTATGGCTACTGGTGGACAAAGAGTGAACCAGCACTGCTGGAGAGTGAGTCTGATGTGTTAACAGATTCAATCTAGACAAACAAAGCTGATGCTGAAATGGACGAAAAAAATCAAAACAGGCTGAAGAAATGGTAACTAGCACAAGTACACAGGATTCTTTCCCCTATTCCCCTCACATCCAAGGTTTTTTGTTCTTTGCTGATGAACTCCCAAATCCCTCTTTTTCCTACCAGCAGCCTCCATCCCAACCCAAGCCCCTCAGACAGCTCTAGAAGCACCACCACTGCTTGCACTGTTATCAAATAGCAGCAGAGAACTAAACCAGGCTGCAGTCACAGCCTGGAACCGAATAGGAGCAATTCAGGTAGAGAACTCTACTGCTTTCACATCTCTCCTGTTACTGATGGTATCTCCTTTCAAACAGTGAGATACAACCTCCTATCTCAAAACACAGCAGCACATTCTGGAGGCAAAGGAAGAAGTGACTGAATCCTTTCTCAGTGGAGCAGCAGTCCCAGTAGAAAAATGAAGAATTACAGAACAACATACAGCCAAATTTTCGTGTGACTGTTAAAATCTTATCAAAACTGGAAAGCAGACAAATTGGGGCAGGGGGAGGAAGTCTTCTTTACTATCTATATCTATGCCTACAGATCATAAAAAATGACAACTGACCTGACTCACCTCCTCTCACAAAACTACTCAAGAGAAAGACTTCTCCATAACAAAATTGTAATTCCAGACTTGATGGTTGAAAGTTGAGCCTAGAACTATGAACAGGTTGCAAATCATTGCTTGCATGAATCTGGAAAAATTAATCAGATCTGTGAACTGCCCTGTTAATCTCAAAGCAGAGCACTGCCGAGTCCATGTCCATATGGTGGAAACTCTGGCCTTTCTCTACATACAGCGAGAAGATGGAATTTTTGCTAATGAATTTCATCACTTGGTCACAGTCAGCAACTACATTATTTCCCCCACTCCACAAGTGCTCTCACTTGCAAGCTCATTCCCTCAGAGGGTGACTAATGTGCAGGACAGTTCAATGAGCAGTAAAATGTAAAGAACAAAGAGAGCACAGGTTTTGTCTGAGTGGCAGAAGAGACAGAAATATGGTCTGGTGAACTCATCAAAGTCAGTGAGGAAGGGGGAGGGTGTTGGGAGATTCAGTGAAGGTGGATCAAGGCTACAGACCCTGACAGGGGACACCCAAAACAGTGCATTAAAAAAAAAAAAAAACAACAAAACAAAAAAAAACCAAAAAACACAAACAAACAAACAAAAACAACAAAACAAAAAAACCAAACCAAAAAAACCCCCACAACCAACCTCTGCACAACAAATGACTTGAAGAGCAGGATAAAACCAATAGCCAAGAATTCCAACAGTTGAAAACCTACAGGACTGGAAATCACTTTAGAAATGTATCTTTTAAACTTCTTATTTTCACTACTCTGACGGGAAGTGTTTTAACACAATACTGCTTTAAAAAACTCTCCAATCTGATCAGCCTTACTTATTACAGTTAATTTGCGGGTAGTTTATACCCACATTCTCATGCCTGCCTTGGAAAGGGAAAATAAGCCTCAGTTTCTGATAAACAAAAATCACTGGTTTTACATGCATACATGATTACCAATATTCTTTGGCTCCTCAGTTTTGGATCATGGTTGAAAACAGAATTACAAGAGCAAAGCGAGTATCTGCTTTGGCCTAATGGCTTATTTTCCATAAGAAATTTGATATAAACAGTTACTGAGTTTTCTCCATTTACTTTTTATAGTCAAAATGTTGTTGCTGGCCAACATAACACTATTCAGGATTTATTGTGTTTTGTAAATCGTGCAATGACTTTCCTGTTATCTCCCATCTTCATCTCTCATTTATGAAAATAAACAGATCTTTCAGTTCATTTCAAAGACAAGCTCTAAAGGAAACTAAAAAAAATCTGGATTACATTAGTTGAAAGAGTTATCCTGAAACTGTACCAAGAAGGCAAACTGCAGCTAGAGTTTTAAAGTCACAATGTATATGCTAAGCCCTGGTCAACACCAATGAAGGTCCATACATGTTAAAGAAAAACATTTCCCCAACAGATAATAACTAGCTATTGTCTACCTTTTATAGTGCCACAGTGCCAAAAACATCCATGGCCAAGTAAGGGATCTGTACTTCCTTTACACAGTTAAATTAAATGGATTAAGAAACCCAACCCATCGGTGTCTCAGTGTACTGAGACATACACACGTATTAAAATGCATGTTAAAATACCAGTAATATATAAAAGGGATTGTTTAGAATCCTGTCAAGCCAGGGAAAAGACCAGCCTGTCTCCCCTGGTAGCCAAAATTTGATTAAAATAACACACGGACGTGGTGCAGGCACAGAACAGCTTCCAGCTTTCCAGTGTTCTGGGTGGGTAAGATGTCACACATCCCTACACTGCATCCCCAAAAGGCAGAGGATACAGGAGCAGCCAAACGACATCCAACAGCATTAACCTTCCCTGCCTGGACGTGGGAACAGCTGCCCTTCCTGCTTTCATCTGTGCTTTATACGTGCATTTGCAGCATTTAAGGAGAAGACATCAGTTGTTTTGTCACTTTGAGAGGAAGCCTAGGTTAGAGGCACAATAAAACGTGCAGTGGTTGGTCTAATAAATAATCTAGGATACAATCCTACGTGTGCCAATAATGTCATTTCTATTGAAGGAACTCCAAGTACGTCTATCATTACAAGATTGGGCAATTGCAGCAGCCAAAGATGTCGAAATCTACATTCTACAGCAGTGGCAGTAATTTCAGAGCCCTGTGCCAAATTGTGATTAATCACAGTTCACTGGGTATTTTGATAGTAACAGAGGAAAATAGCTTGGCATAGAAAAACCATATGATCAATTAAGAATGCCATCAAGCCCCCCAACAGCGTAACCTTCCAGTAGTGTGAATACCACAGCACTCCTATAGGCTGATTACCTGCCAAGATATGGGTTTCATATATCTATATATATAAAGGACAAAAAAACCAAGACTGCTAATAAGAGAGCATATGGAAAACTGTATAAATTCTTCCTTAGGAAAAGCTCATCTGAGATTACGCACTTTAAAGGAACCATGAACTGCTGCACGCCCAGACACACATCAGAGCTGCATTTCTACCTCACCACATTTTGAGGGTGGAGGAAAAGCAGCAGGTTGTCTGTAAACTGCACATACTGGTCAGGCTTATAAAAATCATCCACAATCCCTCTGCCTGCAAATCAAGTCAAACACATTTTTCTGCTACAACTGCATCAGTCAGTCCTGACTGATCAGATCCTGCTACTGCCTGCAAAGCTGATGGCACTCAGTGGATGTTCACACAGTTCTGCCTGTCTGGGGGGTGCCTGACAGAAGGCAGTTTACTACAAAAGTTCTCACGCAATCTCAATCCCATAACTGCTTTTTTTTCCACAGGACAGTATCTTACTAGAAAGCACAAAACCATCAATAAAGCCATAAGTACTTAATAAATAAACGCATACAGTGGTTCTATTTCATTTTCATATTATTTCCAAGATGACAGCATTCCAGAAGACTTCTCTGACTAAATGTATTTCCCCCACAATTGTCCGTAATTGCCCCGAATATTTCTCTTCTCCCCTTGAGTCTTAGAAAATGACTTTGCCCAAATACTAATGGTTCTACTTGCCAATAAATGATCAATAGCTAATTCATTACCAGCTCTCAAACAACCTTGTAAATGTGTCTTACCCAAGGAGTAAAACAGAATCGATTAGGTCTGTCCTAAGTAATGTAACAGAAGGAGATGCTCCAAAAGCCCGAGGTGATGCCCATTCTTCAGGATTAAAAGGATTAGCATCTTGCCTCAAACTTCAGGAAGGATCTGATCCCAGCAGTCTTGTAGCAGCAGTTCACACAGGTGCTGACACCTCTCCTTGTTCACTGCAATGGTACAATCCACTGATAACAAGATTCCTGAAAGATGTGTTTTGATGCATCTCCAAACCATCCTTTCAGGAAGCTACAAAAGATATATACCCTGGCTTTTCTGTAGTACTTTAGGAAACCACGATGTGAAAAAGAAGTTGGTTTTAAATTTAGAAGCAGTAAAAAAGTTTAGTGAATAATTTAGAATAAAGTACTGTGAGTACTAAGAGCACTGTGATTTAGAATAGTAAAAGTACTGTTGTGAGCAAAAGCATATTTAGACAAATAGAAACACTGGAACCAAAACCAAGAGGCTTTAGCTTGGGAGCAGAGCCTCCCCAGAACACTGGTTAGACCTAATACAGCCTATCCCAAACAAATACACCAAAATACATACAACATTGTTCTCTAAAAAAAAACAACTACTCTCTATAAAACTCATAAACAGATTTTTACTGTATTTATATTAATATATATAGCTTTATTCTTATACTTTCAAAATAGCTAAGTTCATCACTGATGATAAGATGTACTATTCAGCTCATTTCAGAATTCAGCTAAATGTTTTAGAGATTCCAAAGGCATCTGTTCAGTCAGCCCTACAATTCAGTATTTTATTCCTTTTGTGATGGTACTAATACTGTTTGTAGCAATTCAGTATATGCATTTAAAATCCCAGCAAAGCCCTTCAAATTAAATATGTAAGAATTTTTCAAAGCCATCTGAAACTAGAGCCATGAACAGAAATATAATTCTGCATCATTTATTAAAAGAAATGAGGTACTTACCCAATGTCTTAGACTCAAAATTGATGAGAAATTTCAATTTAAAATACTTGTTCAAGAGTTTTTCAGAATGATGTATTACAAGTAGGAATAGTTAACTTTTTCCTTACAAAGTTCTGTTCAAAATCTGAATGTTGAGAGGTTTCATGCAAATTTCTAACAATTTGTTAACTAATGAACCAAGTCTCTTCCACATAGGAGTCAAAATGGAACATAACAGCAGCTAATAGAAGACCAAAAAGCTTAAAATACTTTCTTCTATCCATGACTGGTATAGGCCCTATGACAGTCAGAAGACAGAAAATAAACACTGTATCGTTAATTGTGTTAATAATTCACCCATCTGTAAATAAGAAGTCAGACTTGCTCAGGGTTAGATGAGGTCTGCCATGTTTCTCTAGTAAAGTATTAATTTCTGCTAAAGGGTATTATTTTCAAACAAAGACCCATTCCCTAATCAATAGGAGCATATTTTGATTGCTTATAAAGTCAGTCTAACAAATATTGTTCTGCAATTGTTTTGCTTCCCCAAGACTTGATGTGGCCGTACATTTACAGTCCTTTACACTGACTCACCTTCTCGTACTAAAGCTATTCTATGTAACAGGGCTTTAAGTATGCAACGCACACTAAATAAGATACAATACCACAAAGAATGACCAATAACCACCGTTGAAGTAACCCCAGGCTTTACTGCAAGGAAGAGCAGATAAGTTTGGGGAAACAGACCCAAACACAACCCAAAGTTTCACTGTATGTCCCTCTCCCATTTACGTGAATATTCCACGCAGCAGATGGTAGAAAACCAGAAGTGTTCTAAAACCAGAGAGATGACAAAGTGGTTTCTCAATACCTGATAAATTAAAAAAAAATTAAATGCTTTCAGTGTTGTTCCACCATTTGTTTAGGACTGACATCATCCTAACAGGACACACATTGCCAAGAGAAACACAAACATCTTCAGTTTAAGTTTTTGCTTTTTCTGTCATTGAAAGTGCCTTCGCCATTTCTAGCCCTTGACTCAACTTCCTGATTTGGCCAGCAGCTGGAAAGGATGTTAATCCAAGGATACAAGAAAGGAAGTGGTAAAACAATATGCTCTGAGCCCTGGGCTCTGCATGTGCACAGAGAGAAGGGATTTGGAACCCGCCGCACACAACTGGATGTGGCAGGTAAATAAAACCCGTGTTAAATAAGCACAAGAAACATAAGGGGTTTTACTACTTAAGAGTTTGTTTTTCAAAAAAATATACACAGATCCTACCCCAGCTATTCTCCTCATCCAGGTTGAATACCTGAAGCTGAAAGGTTGTTTCTGAACTTCTTTCCTATGTTCAGTTTTCCCCATAGAAGTTAAGATAACTTCAAAAAGTAAACATACATGTTTTAAATTTTTTAATTTACATACAATTTGATGTACAACATCAATTTGATGTACAACAAACTGTTGCTAGGAAAACTCCAGCACTGTGTGAGGTTGTTGCAGAAATTTGACTTTTCCTATCCTCAAGAAACTGCCATATATGAAAAGGGATTGCTCATGATAAATGTATCATGGACAGCCCATTTAAAATGCTTTAGCACCTATGACAAAGAAGAAAAAAAGGAGACAACTTTTTTCTCCAAGTACTTGATTTGGTCTGTTTTAGTGTAATTGAGGGCCTGCAACATCTGCCAGCAAAAGAAGTCTCTGATAATGGCAGCTAACTAATCAAGATCTCATTTCAAAGTTTTTTTCAAACACAGAGCCCCAAGAGCACAGAATGACAAAATGAAACAAAAAAGATACGTCATAAAACATAAGTGATCATTAAAAGTACCAGACTGCATAGCAGGAATAAAGAACTGCACTTCCTTCTCACATATACCCCTGCTTAGTTCCCAAGAGCTCAGTGTGAACTAAAACAAATACTTTTGTGTAATGGAGGGGGGAGCATGAGAGTGTTTACACACCCGAGGGGACACTCTGGATCTAACTGAAATTGAGGTGGGTTTAAGTGAAAGGACCAGAAAGGGGAGGTAGCAGCACTGTCCCTTTCAGCATCAGTGAAAAACCACAGAAGCAACAGCTGCTTTTATATGTCAGGAACGAAAATCCAGGTGGAGCTGAAGAATGTGCTCTCTTAGTACCAGCAAAAACGCTTCCTTCAGATTCTCAGTACTTTGCAAAACGCAGAACTTTTATCCTAAACCAGAAAAACACAGGGTTTGGCCCAGACTGCAACATTTTCACTTCATGAATTTCACCTGGGTCTCCAATGTCTGAGCTGTGGCAGAACACACTCTTCCCACACAAGGCCCTTGTGTCTGCACAGTCACGTGTAACCTACTGAAGCCCTTCTTACAGAACACGTGCTTCACATTTTGGGTGGATTCTCAGTTAAGATGGATATTGCGGCTTCATACAGCACATCACTGTGGAGGGTTCACCACATGTGATGTTCAGCACATCACGTGGGGTTCACCATTAAGCCCAGGAGAAACTGCTGGAATTCTGGGGCAGGAGAACAAGAAACTCATAAAACTCTAATTATGCTTTCCATAACTCATCTTACCAAGCGAGCATGAAGAGAGCAGTGCTGCAGTGCTGCACAGCTGACAAGTCATTAATGCACAGAAGCAGCGGTGGAGATTTGAACATTGGGTGGCTTTCGAAATTAGTTGCCAAGTGGATTTGACAGGTGTAAAGCCCAGCTGCTCCTACTGCCATCAGAAGGAAAACTCTGAGCAGGAGGTTTGCAGGTGGAATTCTTCTGGCACAGCTTTCCTCATCCTGGACACTGCTGGGATGGAGGACAAGTACCTTGCTGACATCCTTCGCTCACTGCACACACTCACAACAGGTATAGGTGAGGGAAGACCTTTTTTTTGAATGTTTGTAACATACAGAGAAAAACATTGTATTTGTGTGTGTATGTGTATACACACACCCCTATACATTTTACATATAAGTCATAATTTATATAAACAGCAACAAATAGAATGTGAGAGATGAGTATGATGGAGACACACGAAAGACACTGTAGGCATTCAGTCATCTTCCAAAGCCTGGAAGTTGAATTTCCAAACTACTGTGCCGAAATAACCAGCTGCACCCACCAGCCTATATCCTGCTCACTGTGGCATCTCCAAAGTTGAGCTGATCTTTCTAACCCATGGAAAAAGTGAAGATGATCTAGATAGCTACAAAGCAATTTGTTTTCTTCAGCACAAGGGAAAATTTTGTTCTCATAAATGCTACTGAAAAAAAAAAAAAATTCAAATACTTATGACTTTCCAGTGAAGTCCAGAAGATCCAGCATAACTGCACAAAAAGTACCAGAGCAACATAGAAAACAGCACTGCAGTGAGCCTTTCCACCCCATCACTCATTTCCAGGGTGGGAGGCCACAGGACAACACCCATATTTCACAACAGAGCATCTGGGGAGACAGATTCCAGTTTACTGCTCTTCATTTGGGGCTTGTCCTGGGAAGGTAATGCCCTCTCCTTAGAAGGCTGCAGGGAGAGCAGTGACTCCCAGTAAGCAGCAGTTCAAAAAAAGCAAGTGCCAAAGTACACAGGCGGGATGTGGTGCCTGTGCTGATGTTCTGTGGGAATATCACAGTAACTGCTCTCCAGCAAAGTAATCTTTGAACCATCTCCAAGTGCTGTTTCTGCATGTCGTTGTCTTTCACAATGCAGCAAAAATCGGGTCATTTATGCTCTGCTGAGTCAGTTACTTAAATTTTCTCTTCCCCAAGCACCAAAGTCTTCCAAGAAGCTGACAGCTTCCAAGCATTTTCCCCTCTGTTGTATCTATTTCATCTTTACCCCATATTAGCAAGGCATACAAGCAAGAGAATTTTGATGCAGGGAATGGAGAAGCTGAAAAATCCACTATTAGTTTTTGATTGTTTTCACTGGAAGCTACAGCACTTCCTCCCCTCAAATTTGAAATATCCTCAAAGTTTTGACTTATTTTTAGGACTCAGGAGACCGAAGCCCAAGTCTTCTCTCTGCCTTACTTTCCATACACGTAGTAATCCTTTGTGAATTTATTTCTTTTTATTGCTAAGTATTTTGAGTGTCTGCTGAGAATTTAATCACAGTATCTGACAGTGTATACCTCTATTTTTCATTGTGCAGAGAGAGAACAGGTTGCAGTGAAGGAGGAACATCGGCAATATCTACAGAAGCTCCTGACTTTGACAGGGATCAATCTGATCCATGGGACCAATATATAAAAGAGTAACTTACTAGGAAATGTTAAAATTTAGATCATCCAGACCAGGAAGAAAACAAATCCTTGAGCAACTGAAAAAGTGGTAGTATATAACCCTAGAAACAGGAATAACAAGGGACCTGCTCTACTTTCCATTACCATCCAAAAATAAAGAATCTGATTTGTCTCAGGCAGCCCTGGAAGCCCTGTAGAAGCTTGTTGTTCAATCTGTGCAGTTTCTTCTTTAATCGTGACACAAATGCCAATAAACTGGCACTTTATAAGTATTTGCTTTATAATCCAGCACAATCAAGGCAGTTGAAGCAGAATGCAGTCAAGCAGAAGGATTCTGCCACTGACAGCTGGGACAGAGGGGCAGGGAGGGAGGAGGGAAAAGGCTACATAAGGTCAGAGGACAAGTCTGATCTTCCACATGTCCACAAACGCTGCTGCTCTTACACTTCCCCCCAAGCACCCCGACACACAGTGAGCACATGAACATTTGGGCTCACTCACATCTCCCCAGAACAAACACACCCACTGCCACCCAGAACAAACCTCATCTCCTTCTTCTGCAAGACAGCCTCCTCATTAGCATGATGGTCAGACTGAAGGCCCTCAGTCCCACATATGCCACTGGCCACTGTAAATCAGCTCCAGATTCTCACAATGGAAAAGAGTTAGTCATTGCCAGCGAAGATCCACTCTTTGTCCCTGGTTTTGCTATAAGCCTGGCTAAAGCCCTATATTCTTGCAGAGCCCTGGACAGAGTCCCAGGAAAGACTGTTCTCAAGCCACTGTTTTAGCAATGACTTCACTTATTCCAAGAAAGAGAGGACAGGCAAATAGACACATGCTCTTTTTTTTTACAGGGGTGGGGGGTAGACTGAGTTGCTCCTCCAGCCTCCCTGCCTTAGGAGATATGTTCAGGATCTCCTCATGAAGATGTATTTCAGCTTTTACCTATATATTTCTCAGAAACACACAATGGCAGGAGAACCAGTCCTTGCTGTATGCCAGGCAAATCTGTTGGCTGGACAAGGAATACTGTAAGGCTACTGAAGCAATGCCTTC